TTGTCTGAGAAATTCGAAGTAAAATGATTTAGAACAGGATCTTTCAGTGCAATGAATTCGGCATTAATCATATTATATCCATTAATTGAGACTTCTTTAGGTTGTGTACATGTAAATGAATCAACCATTGATCGTAAAATAGCGAAAAATGCATTTAGACTAATATTATCTGTTGGAATTTTAAGTAATCTAGTATCTTTACTGCTCTTTTTAACAGAAGAAGTGTTACTAGATTTTTTGCTAGAAGTTTTTGGTCTAGCACTTTTATGCTTCTTTGAGCTTTTGGTATCAAAATAAGTTATTTTTTTTTTTGTGGCATTGACTTCATATTCATCTGAATCGCTTTCTGAACTACTAGACTCACTTTTAGATGATTCAAAAGATTCTGATTTGTTTTGCAAATATGACAAGGTATTGGTTTCAAGTTCATTTTCGCTAGATGTTGTATTATCATTTTCACTACTAGATTCTGAAGATGATTCATTTGAAATTATATGGGCATTAACACGTTTTGATCGACTTGATGATTTCTTTTTTTGGGTCTTAGATTTTGATTTTGATTTAGTTTTGCGACGAGAAGATTTAGGCTTGCTAGAAATCTTTTTCATAGCTTTAGCAATTTTAGTCTGATTGATATGAAGGTCTTCTAATTGTTTACGAATATCTTCAATAGGATCATCATCATCATGAAAACCACTAGAATCATGATCAGGATTGTCTTTTGCAAGATTATCTAAAAAGCGATCTATATGAATTTTGTCTGCTTTTTCTTTACCAGGACCAGGCTTCTTAGCTAAAGTTTTTTTAGCTTGCTTTATGATTTCTATAAATTGTCTAACTGCTTCAGTATTAGGATCAACTTGAGATATTTGTTTTGGTTTTAGACTTTGTTTTTCTCTAGAAACGATTCGTTCTTCTACAAGTCTATCAATATCTGCATTAGAATAAAATTGTTGTTGACGCTCTATAGCAGGTTTTGGAGTAAAATATGCTCCAGATAATTGCTCTGCCTTATATCTTTCAATTTCTTCAAGTTCTGTAAGCAATTCAGATACAGGCTTGTTAATTCCAATCCGTCGAATTTCTAATTGATTATCAGGAGAGATACCACGAATAAATTGTAATCGAATTTGTTGTTCATCAATACCAGC